AAAATATTCATTGAAAAATAAACTGAACTGATAAGCATCAGCATTTCAGAGTTGATGTTGAAATTCACTTAGTATTGTTTGTTTGAATCACACCATTGCGCAAGCAAGTAGCTATCAGGACTCAGTGACCGAGTGAATAACGTGATGGCGTTTGAAGCGAAAGGTACTGGGTTCGAGTCTCAAAGTGAACATCAACTCTGAGATACAGGTACATCCAGCTGATGAGTCCCAAATAGGACGAAGTGTCGCGCGTCGTGGATTCCACTGCTAGCCACTATCCATCTTTGCTTACCATGCTTGAGAATTAAGGCTATATCGAGGCAATATGCACATTTGCCAATTAGAGATTGACCAGTTGCAGTCCTAAAACATCAATGGAAAGATTTAAACAAACAATACAAAGTGATAAGCATCCTTTTCATATGAAGTAAATTTACCTGCTACTAGATCACTTATTATTTCAGTCCATCCCAAAACGAAACTTTTTTAGCCAGTATTGCTTGTTTATGTAAAACTGTACATTTATACAGAAAGCTCGAAGATACACTCTTTATCTTCCCTTAAACCTTGAGATTAAAATTGCTTCATAACTTTCTTCCTTCCTATACTATATCCTTAGTGCTTGAAGTCACTAACTTCTAGTTTTAGCTATGTTGGTAGATGCAGACTACTTGGTTGGGGTCCGTGCGACTATCGTAAACAATGGTTGGAGACTCTGTGTGACATGTCTCAGAATCGATCACAATGGTGTAGGTGTATACACTCTTTATCTTCCCCTAAACCTTGACATTAAAATTGCTGCATAAATTTCTTCCTTCCTATACCTATATATACCTGAAGTTCTAGTGAGAAGTCGTGACCAGTGGAGCTAATCTGTGTCAGGTAGAGACAGGTATCTACCTCAGTACAATAAGTTGGTCGCGCAATGTCGTGGGTTGGTTGGGGTTAGACAATAACACCGCTGGATGCCGGCTCAGTGGTTTATCGATTAAGTGCTCTGGCGCGAGACTGGTAGGTCCTTGGTTTGAATCCCGCGTGGCAGGATCGTGTATGCGCACTGCTGAGGAGCCCTACAATAAGACGAAACGGCCGTCCAGTGCTTCCAGGTTTTTCACGGTGGTCTAGCTTCAATTGACTCATGATCTTAACTATATAAAATTACTAGAATCTCCACAAAACCTACTTGTGATGATTTTTGTTAATAAGCGACATGAGATTCATTGAAAATCAAGATGTGTTATCCGAGCTTGAGGAAATGAGCACCAATGACCATACTGAAGATTGAATTGAGAATTGTTAAACTTCACAACTACCATGATGGCTTTAAGATATTCATTTTAACTTCAGTGGTTCCAACCTTGAACTTCAGTTAGTCTGTGATATAACACGGTTATTTGCTCAATGTTTTCAATGTTGTTATTTGCACTGACATCATCTACCATCATAAAATGAGTCACTTGCCGGTATAATATCCCGTCGCCAATACACATATCTCCAATTAACCAGTTTATGTTGACACATTTGCCTCATGACCAGATTGTCAATATATATCTGGCATACAAATAGTGATACGATCAAGAACTCACATCTCGTCTTTATCAATGAATGTTTTATCAAGTCAATCTACTCGGGATGCACATATGGCATCAGAGACAGATCAATTCGAGTTTTGAATATCAACAACGGGGAATTACAAAACTTTTTTAACTACTTCATACTTTTTGTTTAGGTTACTTGCTGCATTCCCACGGTAGCTTAGTGGATAGTAAGTTGGTATCTATAACGGGGTTCTAATACGATGTTTTAGTCTCATCTTAAATATTAACAATATGGCACAAGCAGATCCAGTTGAAAAGTCTCAAATAGGATGAAACTCATGTTCGTGGCATCGCTCCTAGCCACATTCTAAATATATCAAAACAATAAGGTAAACGGCTTTCAAATAATATTGGCGTCTAATAAACATTTCTTTTCAATTATAGATCACACCATTATGCCTAGTGAACAAAAAGATTCCATCCATGAACTAATTAAACAGTTAAAAGAATCTACATTGAAATCATCTATAGAGAATGTATCTATGGAAGTGAGATAATTTTCTAATCTGTTCAATTTCTCCAGAAGAATATGTTAGTTAAAAACGACAATATCAGCAAATAAGATAATCCAACTAAAAGGAAATCAAGGAAGCCACTCATGAAACAACTGCCTGAAACTATGGTAATTATAGTCATTGTTAAGTGTATATACTAAAATATTCTGTCAGTTATGTTTATTGTTAGGTATGCGATAGCAGACACAATAAAAGCTTTGTTTGATTTCGATCTCTACTCCTTTTTTACGGGTCGTAGATGCTAATTGCTGATAAGGTTCACACTAAAGAGAACCGACTGCCTAGTGATTCCAGGTTCTCAATCACTGTCTAACTTACATCGGTTCGTAATTTCAATGAAAAATAATTTTGTTCCTTCACTTGTAGTAAACTAAGAATTTGTTGTGATGGATCCTCAGTTCCTAGTTGGATTTCTTTATAATTATTTTTACAGCATGAAGTGCTTGGAGATCTAAGGTTAAAAAACTTTCAACTGAGCCAGTCACTTTTTTTCTACCTGGATAGAAATGTGAACACTTAGTTTCGCCGATTTGATGATTGTATTTGATTTCATATTGAATAACAGATATCTTACAAAACGCCACTTGTTCTGTCTCGTAGAACATGTTAGAAAAACTAACTTGGATATTTTAGTTCAGTGCAGTTTCACAATAGTAAGATTAAAGCGCGAACTACTTATTTATTTGATAGTAGTTCAACAAATTGAGTGAAAATTTGTTTTGAGATTTGATTGTGACATTTTTTAAAATTCTATCTAGTTACAAAACAAACGAATAAATGGATCTGGGAAATTAGTTTTTGACGATGAAGGAAATCTGATAAGTGTACCCAAGTTATATGCAGTCAATAATAATAAGCAAGATGAATCATTCACGACTGATTCACATTCAAATGGAACTGATAATAATATTTTAGGAAATGAAATTCCAATTGAATGGCGTTTTGTATTAAAGTCATATTCTAACAGTACAACTAACAATCAATTTGGCATAAGAATAAATAGTAAAGTAAGTGATAATCAACTTGACCTAGAAGGCTTTATGCTAGCTGGGACTTGTCAATAACACTAGCCTATACTCCTAAAAAAGACAACCCTGACAGTTGGATATGAACAAATATCAATCAGATATGTAAACGTAAAAGTAACCGATGAGACAACTGAAATCCTGAATGACCAAGAAATATCTAGATAATAATAGGGTTGATGAAACCAGAAAATCATGGTTATCTATAAGATTGTTGATTGTTGCTTTTAGCAAGGTGATATTTCGGTATGAAGACTGAGTGATATGACTACAGATACGCAGTAATAGAGCATATTGTGTCTTATCCTATAATTCTCGATCTTCTATTGCATTTATTTTTGTAAAGTGTGTCTTTAATTTAGAGTTTCCTTTGAAGGGTGACATTAATGTTCCACTTTATCTTCTCTTTAGTTCGTTTCAATTCGAACATGGAAATATTAAACAATGTTATCAGTAAAGTGAATATGAAATGGTAAATCTTGATTCTCTTACAGTGACTTGTACCCACATTGACCAATATTACAATTAAGGAAATTACTAATGATCTGTTTGAACAGTAATCAACTTAATATTCGAATGAAATCTTATCACTAAACAATCCATAATCACTAGATACTTTCATGTAATCCAGTGTGGTAGCCTCCAAATGTCCTGGTACGGCCGAGAGTGAGGAGAATACGCTCTCCCTCTCGAATTACTCTCACATAACCACATGTATATAGCCTCTGCCATGGAAGTCCTACTCACTGCCTTCTCGGAGCAGATGTGTTGTTTACGAAATTGAGAGGACGAAAAGCAAATATCCGGCGCTTTAACCGGGTTGGTGGACATGGAAAGTTCACCTAATGAAGTTGACAAACTGAGTCCAAACCAATGGTGCACATGGGCTCTCCAGTATCCTGAGGGAACAAGTGGTGTATGAATCAATCGTTGATCACTGGCTATCATGGGACTGCATCTCCTCACGATGCTCCACTGTCCTGTGGATCAGATCTTTAGGTCACAGGCTTCGGGTGTGGTCCCCTTAGCAAACCACCTGCTTCAGTTTGGGCACCAGTGCAGTGTCACAGCCCTCACACGAATCGAATAAGATTTGTGCGGCGCATATATATCTGGTGCTTCCTTGTACCAATATTCATGTGTTTAAATAAATAAATAAATCCAGTGTGTAATGATGATAGAGTCATATGGATCCAATTGAAATATAAACCTTCGAAAGTTATACTGGTAGACAGATATGACCAAAATATGATTTAATCCGTAGAATCAAATAGACAACACAAACTGAAGAAATGTTATTTACGTTATTACTGTGAAATGTGAATAGATCTGGATTGTTTTTAATCAAAATTCATAAGGAAAAATTAAGCAAGCACTAAATTGAACAAAGCTTGTGATTTCAGGCAATGTCGAGTTAATCCGCACAGGATGCACATAAGCAAACAGGAGACTGATCAATTACAGTCCTAAATAACAATGGAAAGATACAAGTAAACAACATCAAGTGAATATAACTTCACCTCATTACACAAGCAGGTGGTTATCAGGACTCAGTAGCTGAATGGATAACGTGATGGTGTTTGAAGCGAACGGTACTGGGTTCAAGTCCCAGAGTGCAGGTACATCCAGCTGACGAGTCCCAAACAGGACGAAACGCGCGTCCTGTATTCCACTGCTAGATCTTATCCATTTTTCCTTATTCAGGTCACTGTTCTACTTTACTGATTAATACTCACCAATCAGGTTATTAAATAAGAACTACAGAGTGTGTAGGTGCTTAAATGTTTTTCATTCTCTCGTTAGTTTTTAACTTACTCAATTGGTTACAATAACTTTTACTCATGAATTCTTTTTAACTATAGTCTTCAAATAAAATGAGAACAACAAATTGTAGTTTCGAATTAACGAATACCACAATTACACCTGATGTAATACGTTTACAAAAAATTAAGAATGCATGTGTCAATTTACCAAATACCATCGATTTGGTTGATTTAGTTGCTGGAGTAACAATATCTGATGGAGAACATTTAAAAATTGGTCAGTTAAGGGTAAGTAGTTTTTCTTGCATTCTGATTGAACTGACACTTAGTGTAAGTAGTTCTTACAAATGAACTCAGCGTTGAACAAAGCTGAAAACAACAAAACTATCTACTTAGTAAGTGAAGATGGATAGTGGCTAGCAGTGGAATCCAGTTTGACGCGCGACACTTCGTCCTATTTGGGACTCGTTAGTTGGATGTACCTTCATCTCAGAGTTGATGTTCACTCTGGGACTCGAACCCAGTACCTTATTAATTGAGTGTTACTTTTGCACTTGTTTAATATTCCTTAAACTATTGCATTTCACTAGACCTGAACTAATAAAGAATAAGGACAAGAGAAAACGAAGATGATATTTTATACATATGGAATTACAAAATATACTGTAGCAAAAAGACAACACCGTTGCTATTGCAATGAGTTGGACTTCCTTGACAGTGGCTGTATACACGAAACCATGTAATAGCATTTCTAGAGGAAAAGCGGACTTTCCAGACCATCGGCTGTATCAGGGAATTTTTCTTGTTAAAATACATGAGTTACGCATATCCTTCCTATGGACGTTTTTAAAACGTCTATCATGATAATTAATCGTCGATTCAAGTACTTTTTATAGAATCAATTTGTAGTTGAAATCATGAGTCCATTGAAGCTAGACCACCACGGAAAACCTGGAAGCACTGGACGGCCATTTCATCCTATTCTGAGACTCCTCAGCAGTGCGCGAGATCGTGGATGCACACTGCTGAGGAGTCTCAGAATAGGATGAAATGTCTGTCCAGTGCTTCCAGGTTTTCCATGGTGGTCTAGCTTCAATGGAATCATGATTTCAACTATGAAAATACTGAAATCTACACAAAACTCCTTCTGAAATTAATTTGCTAAAAATTTTCTGATATTTTATCTGTTCATAACTGATTTGTTTTATAAAGGATTTCATCAATGATCAGTGATCACAATCATTAACATGATCTTGATTATTGTCACCCAAAAAAAATCGATATTGTTTTTCGGAAGGAAATAAATTGAAAGTATCGATTTTAAATAAATCAAACTTTCAAGTGAATCGATATTACTTTTGAGATGGTGGAGAAGATTTGTACCTCAGGTGAATGCTTCGGGTACTTCTAACCGAAATTTGTGCTGATGATATCATTCAGAAGTACGATGAAAGCTCCACGAAAAAAAACAACCAGCTCAGAGAACAAACCAACATCAGAATCGATATTACGTCTAAAGAAACTATTGTGCTGCATAAATATTTAAAACTTATCGATTTCAATACCCCAGAAATATTTGGGAACAATAAACTAAATTAAAACATGCTAATCACTCGAACAACAATGTCGACGTCATAGTGTAACCTGTGGGTCAAGGATTTGATCCCACCATAACTGCGTATAAGTTCATTCATTCCAGATCATCACAACTATAGGAAATCAAATGATCCAACAGCAGTATGATGTTGGATGTAGTGATCATTGTTATCTCTTATGACGAGCTAGTTGGACTGAATTAGTTGGAGCAGTAGATGTTCAAGACTCTACTTCTTCTGACGATGAAGCATACGAAGACGAAAGTCTGCAAAATGACGTCCTAGACTTTGCCACTCTATTGACTGTAGTGAAGTCTGTTATAAATAAAATTACTTTTACTTGTAACCAAGATATCTAATGAAACAGTCTCCAAATAGAAAGAAATAGGAGTTAGCAACAGTCTAGTAATAAATTGAGTAATTATTTAGAGAAAGATTAGTTTCAAGATATTGTTACTTGTGGTCATATTTTCTGTTAGTTATAACAGCCATTATCTATGTCTGACTTGAAATTTATTTTGACGTTAGACAGTCGAAGGCGATTACCAGTAATCTCAAAGACATAAGTTATGTTGGAGCTCATCACCAAAATGTAGTCACAATGCTGAAACAAGTGATCCTTCTCTATTCCCTAAAATGTTATATGTTTCATCACATCGCAACAATGTTAGTGATTTTTCATGGTTTAAATCATGAGTTAATTGAAGCTAGATCACCATCGAAAACCTGGAAGCACTGGACGGCCGTTTCGACTCACTAATGGACTTTTAAACAGTGTGCATTCACAATCGAGCACTCGCGATATTCGAACCCAGGACCTACCAGTCTCGCGCCAGAGCACTTATAACTAATAGACCACTGAGCCGACCGACATCCAACGGTGTTAATGTCTAACTTCAATCAATCCACGATGTTTGAGCAATCGTTCACTGGTAGGTCCTGGGTTCGAGTCCCGCGAGTGTGGGATCTTGGATGCCCACTGCCACTGAGAAGTCCCATAATAGGACGAACCGGCCTTCCAGTGCTTCCAGGTTTTCTATCATGGTCTAGCTTCAATTGACTCATGATTTTAATTATTAGAAATTCTGAAATCTCCACTTAACCCCTTCTGAAAGTTAGTGATGTTAATACTGAATATTTTAGAACAGAAATAATGTACTAGAAGACTGAAACATTCCATATGAACAGTTGTGTCATAATGTAATCTCTTGAACAATCAGAATGATGTGTTGCTTGTTAAACTCTGACTGAATAATTTGGTTTAACATCTCAATCTGTGACAATGAATACCATGGCTTTGAGTGTCATATCTAAATTTTTCAAGATTAGAGATTCATCCTTCTAACGAGCGTTGATGAACACGGAATAATAAAATCTTTCAGTTGATTGACTTTCATGATCTTGCACACAAGTGACTAGGTTCAAGATTGATTTTATGGATTTTTAGTAAAATGACGTGACCAGTGGAGTCTAATCCGTGTCAGGTGGAAACAATTATGCACCCTGGACAATGAATGAAGAGTTGCGTAATATCATGAATTAACTGAAGTTATACTTCAACACCGTTGGATGTAGGCTTAGTGATCTAGAGGTTTAACGCGAGAAAGAAGGTTCTGAGTTTGAGTCCCCCGTAAGGGATCGTTGATGCGCACTGCTGACGGGTCTCATGCTAGAACGAAATGGCAGTCCAATGCTTCAATGGTTGTCTAGCTTAGATCGATTCTCACAAATCATCATTTTGATAATAATCAATATTCTTATACCTTTGACACCATGTTTTTTTAATATATTTATTCATTTCTATATTATAATCATAGAATGAACAGTTCACGTATATTTTGAATACAAATTGGAATGATCTTGATGAAATTCCACCAGTCAAAGCAAATTAAAATGATGAACCATAATGATTTATATCTTCAAAGTATTTCTTTACATGAATCATTTACAAACTACACACCAATACACATTGATATATTCAAATTGATTGATCTTTCTGTTTTATTTGTGATGATGGGGATCGGGGATTGGTGAAGAGGATGAAGTAGTAGTAGAATTGGGTTGAAAGGAAGCACGAAGGGATTAAACTGGAATGTAACTTTATTGATGATTGAATTTGATTAATACCGATAGATTCCAGGTTAGTAGTCTACAGGTTAAGTATTTGCATGTGAAACTGAAGGTCCTAGGTTAAAATGTCCCATATGAGAGATCATGGATGTACACTTTTAACGAGTCTTATGAAAAGATGAAATGGGCATCCACAGCTTGGTTGTCTAACATTGATTACTTCATTGTTTTCAATGAATTGAGTGAAATGAAATGTAGATTTCGAGGTTGTGATTGTTATATGGTGTAAGAGTAATCAAACCATAATGTAAGATTCATGTTTCATCCTATTTCGAACTCATCAGCTAGATGTATTTGTGCCTGTGTTGGTATTTTCACAGAGACTTCAACCCAGTACCTTTTGCTGAGAATACCTAAAGTGATATTCATTGAGTAGCTGAGTCCAATTTGCTACTGGCTTATGAAATGGGCATGATTTTTCAGTCATACTTGAACAGTCCTCTTATCAATATTGATGACTGAATTTTAATTAGTCTACTGCATTAGCAACGTGTAACGTTACAGCTATTTTAGGGTACAAGATATACAACTCCTCAATGATTGATCAATATCCAGTCCTCTGTATAGTCAACGGGATAAATCAAATACATACTAATATTGATCCTACCGATGTGCTACAATAGTTTCATGTCTTGACCCTGAGATAAAGTTTGTCTTCTTTGATAGAGGTTTTGTAACGAGGTTTACCAGAGAAATATGTAAACCTCGTCAAGGCTTTGTAGTTGAACAATATTGGTCATATAAGAGTTTACGACAAAATGTCATCGAAACTAATAACATCAACCTGCGTTTATTGAGGCTGTTGATTTACCCTATTTTATTTAACCTCTTTACAGACGTCCTTTGAAAAATAAAATCCTCTACTCACAATTGATTGATCACTGGATGGTGATAATTATCATGCGTGTCAAGTCCTTCTTAGTGCTGATCGAATGCTATCGATCACCATCCAGTAATCAATCAATTGTGACTACATCTCAGTCCTACAGCAGGTCGTTTGCGTACCAAATAGCTCAGTGGTGGCGTCGCTGACTGTGAAGCTGAGTGACACGTGATCGAATCCGTCAGGGAGCACCAGTTCCCTAAAGATTACAGTTACACCATACTGACGAGTGCCAAGTAGCACGAAACCCGAGTCCAGAGTTTCCTGTTGACCACCTCCAACCACCATCTTAAAATCCTCTTCCAACTTTTAGAGCGTTATCTGCTACCAGAGGATTCATTTCTCACCTTTGACTACAAGAATGATATAGTTTTCTTTGGTGATGGTGTTCTGGCATGAACACATAGGAATGCCACTAAGAGTAATCAAACCGAGACAAAGCATTAGTCCATGAAATCACTGACTGTTCATGTGGGTCATATTGACAACTTTAGATTATCATAACTAGTATCTAAAGACACGCTAACGTGATCAGTAAGCTGTCAGATCCACTCTTTGTCACTCCTTCGATCTTGACCTTCTGAAATAATACCTTATGTTCTGTGAATCAACCATTTTGTCTCGAATTATTTTTTTATCTGTAATGTCGTTTGCTATAATTGAAACTAGTGCTTCTTAGAATAGCCTAAGTCATCTGGGTAATTTTATGTCCCCCTATTGATGTAGTGTCTGAACTTGTGTGTGTCTAAATATGTCAAGTTGGGGGGGGGCTAGAAATTCCTGTCGATAAATGAATAGGGTTAATTTCAATAGCATTACATAGTAAATATAGACATTTACAATCGGGAAAAACGAAACAGAGAGCACAGAATAAAAGGAGTAAACATGACTGCGATACTTACTTACTTACTTACTTACGCCTGTTACTCCCAATGGAGCATAAGCCGCCGATCAGCTTTATCCAACACACTCTGTCCTGGGCCTTCCTTTCTAGTTCTATCCAACTCTTGTTCATTCTTCTCATATCTCTCTCCTTTTCTCGGCTTAATGTATTCTCTGGTCTTCCTCTTCTACTTTGGCCTTCAGGATTTCATGTGAGGGCTTGTCTTGTGACGCAGTTGGGTGACTTCCTCAAGGTATATCCTATCTACTTCCATCGCTTCTTCCTGATTTCTTCCTCCTCTGAAATCTGGTTAGTTGTCTCTCACAGTAACTTGTTGCTGATAGTGTCTGGTCAACGGATCCGAAGTATTTTGCTTAGACAACTGTTAATAAACACCTGTATCTTCTGGATGATGGATTTCATAGTTCTCCACGTCTCCGCCTCATACAGCAGAACTATCTTGACATTTGTCAAGACGCTAACCATAAAAATGACTCCAATAGATTTGCCATAATATAGTTAATAAGCTCTTTTATCACCTATAGCTTTGGATAGATTTTGTTTAAATTAGTTGAATTAACCAAAGTAGTTTCGGTGTAAAGCAGCTGATGAAGGTAATTATACTCATTAAAAAACAATAATCTGAAAATTTAATAACCCTATAATTTCATTGGTGAATTGGCATGTAGTCATGGCTACATGTAATTTCAAGGCCATTTAAGAGTACAGGTAACAATTAATGTAGCGAACAAATGAAAAAAAATGTAATTTGATTTCAAAGACAGAATGCATCAAACGATTACAGAGTTTCGAAAATTTACTTAAAAGAAGACGTGACCTATCCCTTTCTATATGGAACTATGAATACTGTAACTAGGGTTTTACTCATATTGGATTGTAGCAGTGAATGTGAAAGGTAGTCTATTTCATGTTTTGAGGAAACGATTAAATTCAGTTGGAATTTACTCCTCCATAAATGGTCAAGCCCAGACTTAATGAGTGTACATTTATAGTTCGAAGGATAATCAATCTAAAGAATTGTAGTGTGTAAATTGTCAGTGAACAGATTTCAATCCAAGTTTATGTTTTATAAAAACACTACTCAGAATAGAAATGTAATATTATCAGAAAGGGATTTTGTGGAGATTTTAGTAATTTTATAGTTAAAATCATGAACCAGTTGAAGCTAGATCACCATGGAAAACCTGGAAGCACTAGACGGTTGTTTCGTCCTATCGTGGGACTCCTCAGTAGTGCTCATCCATTATCCCGCCTCGCGAGATTCGAACTCGAGACCTATCAGTCTTGCGCCAGAACACTTAACCGATAGACCACTGAGCCGGCATCCGAGAGGTATATCCAGGAGTTCCAGTGAGGAGCAGTGACCAGTTGAGTTCAAACCACGTCTGTTGTGAGATAGGAACTCACTGAAGACAATTGATGAACGGTTACATACTGTTGTTTGTAAACGATTCATTTTGACTTATATCTGATCAACTTTTTGAATGATTCATTTAGATAAGATGATTGTAGAAACTGAAGAGATTTCATTGAAAAGTATATTCTTCATTCATATGAAATTGAGAATTACCTGGTGATTAAAATCTCTTTATTATTTGACAGCTGTGTCGAAACGAGCAACGAAGTCAAGTGAGGAAGACCAATTTATTGCTTAATGCACAATCACATAGCAAATTCATTTAGTATTGTTTGTTTGAATCTTCCCATCGATGTGTTGGGACTGCAACTGTTCAGTCTCTAATTGGCATATGTGTATACTGTGCGTAATGCCTCGATATAGCCTTAATTCAAGTGGACTCAGGACTCAGTGGCCGAGTGGATAACATGATGGCGTTTGAAGAGAAAGGTACTGGGTTCAAGTCACAGAGTGAACATCAACTCTGAGATTCTGGTACATCTATCTGACGAATCCCCATTAGGACGAAAAGCGCATCAAACTGGATTGCACTATTAGCCACTATCCATCTCTACCTACCAATCACATAGTAATTTATTAAAATCATACATTATTTGAGCATCTTCTTTGAATTTTCTCTTACAAGTTTGATTGTTCTTTCATTTCTGTTGTTATCTTGATTACTTTCAGTTTTCTTCTCAATTCTCTTCATTTCATTCCTTTTAACTTTCAGTTTGTCGACATTCCACTTCCAATTGTTGTCACATACTACTTATATCTATCGAAATAAGTAGTATACATTACATTTCTGAATATTGTGCATCAAAAGTGAATACGAAAAGTTCATAGAATTCGATATCTCTCCAACTTTATAAGTAGCTTATAAAGTAATCATATGAATATAATTTTTTCTTTTAAACTGTCATATATACAGTCAGCAGAACCTTTATGCAATTATTCATGCCCTCATTTATGAAATATTTGTACATGATCTTTATTGTTACTTTGATGATAGATACAAGTTCAATCAAATGAACCTTAATGACAATTCAAGTTACATTTTGTTTCTTACGAGATTATGTAATCACTTTTAATAAATAATTGCATAAGATTATTACTTCATTTGTTCTATCTATCAATATTCTGTATTACGTAACTTGTTTTGCAGTTTATTCTTCTATAATTGAAATCATGAGTTAATTGAAGCTAGACCACCATGGAAAACCTGGAAGAACTGAACGGCCATTTCATCCTATTCTGAGACTTTTCAGCAGTGCGCATCCATTATCTTGTGCGCAAGACTGATAGGTCCTGGGTTCGAATCTCGCGAGTGCGGGATCGTCGATGCGCACTGGTGAGGAGTTTCACAATAAGACGAAAAGGCCGTCCAGTGCTTCGAGGTTTTCCACGGTGTTCTGGCTTCAATTGACTCATGATTTCAGCTATAAAATTACTTAAATCTCCATAAAAGCTCCTTCTGTTTATTCTTCTATTATACCTAATGTTGAACTTTTGTTTTTTACCATTTAAAATGATTCCTTTTCAATTCCTATGAGTAATTATTACGAAATTCAATCACATACTAACCAAAATTTATTAAGTGAGTACACCAATTGATCACTGAGTAGCAGTCAAATCTATGTTTAACTTGTCTTCAATGTTGATCGTAT